TGCTCCAAGTTAGTGGGAAGGCTAAGACTGACTTTGCATTTCCCAACTCCCATCGATAATGGAAATAATCGATTTTTTCATGCTTCTATGGCAGTTTTCATGTAGTTTGCGGCCATTTTGTACTGGCCAGAGTGAGAGCCTATAGCTGGCTGCCACGAATAGGCAGGAAGATTCTATTGGCCAGCGTGAGAGCCAACAGCTGACTGACACGAATGTTAACTAGCATGCAAAAAAAATCGATAGCTGCATTCGTCACAAGTGGGAAAAAATTAAATCCGCATGGCACTTTACTCCAATTGGATCATTCGCTTGCTTAAACTCAACGTTGATTCTGATTCCGCAGAACTGGGTTGGGTGTGAAAAAGTATTTGTTGTTAACATTCTTTTTTCATTCGGTTTTTCCAGTTAGGAGTCCTTTTTTAAAGCTGATCGTTTTGTGTTGATTTTGTTTAGTTCTTTTTTCGTAACAGATTTAATGTTTAGTATAGAGCTTAGAAAAAATTTGCAGTGTGAGATAGACAAGTAGTAAGGGATGTAGCAACATCAGCATGGCAAAGGGCACTCCTTTAAAGGCAAGGAAGGGCAAAAATATTTCAAGTCAAGTGATAGCAATTGTTGTATGAGTCATACGATTTTTGAATCAAGCACGGGCAACGCTGGCCCATGCTGCTAGTATATCTATATAATAAATGCGAATGTCAGTGTGTCATGGTGTCAGATTTTTTCAATTAAAGGGACACAACTCTCTAACTTTCAATAGCTCATCTTCTATAATAAATGCAAATGTCACTGTTTCACACCCTTTCAATTTTATTCCAAGAGGCTATAGCACAACATATACCATTTTGGAATCAGGCCGACTCCATGAGAAAATTAAAAACATTCCAAACCTGAAAGTTTGGATTCCTAAGTTTTCATTACTGTGGTTGTTTTTGGTGATTTTTGTACATGATTTTTTGCAACAAATTTTTTTGTACAATAACAATTTTTATAACTTAGAAATAAATTTGGGGATAATTAAAATTAATTGTTGAAAGTCACTCATGAAATAAAAATAATTGTTTGTATGGAAAGTAATGTATGTCTTTAATTTAAGTGGTGGCAGAAGAATTATCATTGAAAAGCAAGGGAAACTTAAATATTAATATTAACGTAATACTTAAATACAGCGATCAATTTTGAGTTCTTCTGTAGTTTATTGTTCCCTATATCGCATCTACTCCTCCCTACCTATTTTGATGAAGGCCCACTCAAGAACCCTCCACTGATTGGGCAGCTTTTAAGCTAGTATATATATATATATATATATATATATATATATATATATGATTCCCTGTAAATAAATCCATTAGTTCTTTAGAAATTCTTTGTTTACATTTTGGATATGAAACAGCAGATATGGAGGTTGTGGAAAATTTAATGATCCCCTCCTACAAACAGAGTCCTGGCTTGATGAACAAAGTGTAAGAACTGAACATTGTAAAAGCATATTTCATACAAGAAACACAATACATAATGAGAAAGAGAATATAGGATTGCTAAAAATGTATTCTTTTAGCCGTTAAAAGTCAAAGCATTGGAGACAAAATCCAAATACATATCGGTTTGAAATAGATGATACACTTATCTGAATGGAGTTCATATTCTGCTTGTATTAGCTGCAATGTTCTTGCATTATTCAGGTTAGCTTGTGCCCAGCATGCCTGTTCACAAGTGGGCATGTCTCCTTCATTCCAGATCTTCTTTGCATCTGACACTGGTGCTTGAAATCCTATTTTGCACCTAATTTTGGGTCTTGCTCATTATCAGTTTATAATAGACTCTTCTTATTAGCAGCAGGAGCCATCTACCAAAGGGAGATGGCCTATATTTTTTTATACTCTCCTAACTCTTGGGAAACATGCAATTCAGAATTCCATTGCATGTTGCCAGTAATACAGTTCATATAATTATAATACAGTTCTTCTTTATTATACAATAATCATTTCAATAAACATTTCCTTTATTAATGCAATGTTTGATACATAAACAGATCAATTCTTTATTAATACAAAAGTATTTTCATCAGTTCAACAGATCCAAGAAATAAAGAGAAATTGATACCTGTGACACTATTTAGCTATGGTAATTGGCTAGCTAATTAAGCATGGAAATTAAAAACAAGAAATACTTAAGGCGAGAAAAAGCTATAACAAAAGACATACTGAGCGATGTTATTTTTTTTTAACAAAAGAAAAATGGGTAAAGATTTTATTTTCATTTACGAAGAAAGGTATTTTTTTCGCAGAAGATAGAAAATTTGTAAGAAAGACAGGTACCGGATCCTGTCAGAATTAATTTATACCATGACATGACAAGGAAAACAGAATACGGATAAAGATAACAATCTGCCCACACGTATGGCAATAATAAAAATTTCAATTCGGTCAAGAGGCATACAAAGCAAAGTTCTAGAAGATAATTGAAACTAGGTCAAGCATGCGACTGAGGAAGAATTAGGTGAGCCAATAAGAATAGCCATTAACTATCTTTCGGAGATATCATTTGGTTTTGGAAGGAGACCCATTTGTTGTATGTCTGGATCTTGTCATGATTTTAATTCGGTTATCTTAAAAAAAATAGACCAACAAAGGAAATCATTATTGTTACCTGGACAAGCTGTTCGCAACAGAATGTGATGAAGTTGAGAAAGACAAAGAGATTTAGTTGACCACCCAGTTAATGAGTTGGTGAAGATCCCACTAATGAATTCCAGGTGACCCCAGGATAAGATAACAATTTAATAGCCGTGAGGTGCGGTCCATAATAATTCTGGATAGAAAAAAAAGAAAAGGGAAGGTAATTTTTTTTCTTTGGGCGATAATTGTAAACTGAGGCCAGTCTAGCCACACCCACACTGTCGAGTGTTCATTGGCTGAGTGGTGTTGTGAGTGATGGGCGAAGGTAAACATATGAGAAAGAAGGGAAACCTGTTGATGCCCTCTGAGGGGATTGGTGTGAGGTACCGATATGAGAAAGGAAGAAATTAGGAGGACAATTCCCTTATGAACCCCAACGACAGAGAGGGGGAGAACCCCTCTAAAGCAGAAAGAAAATGACTTCCAAAAATGGGAAGTGATAAATTTTCCTGTCCGAAAACAAAGAAAATCCTTATTGCGGATTTGAAATTATCGAGGAACTGAAACCACGACAGGCCCCCACCCGGTTTGGGTCGGCGTCCATATAAACGAACGTCCCCAGAGTTTCAGACAGTTAGACTGAGAGTTGGAGTTGCAGTTGAGTTGGGTTAGAGATCGGAGACCAGCCCCGCAGGAGCTGACTGAAAGATTTCCACGCATTCTGACTTAGACTTCTAACCAAAAACAATTTTTTTTTTCTTTTGAAGAACGACTTAGACTCACACCACCAAGTTTTAACAAATATTGCCTGAAGATACCAAAAAGCAGTTTATTGAAAAACAACTTAAGATATTGAGACTCGCCTAAGAAATGCAAAGTGTCACGAATCCATAGAAGCGGTTTGGGAGAAAGACGCAGTCCTGTATTCAGCAAACAGATATAAAGATATTTATTATTTTTTCAATACATTTGAACCTTTTGAGTTTGTTTCATTATTTTTTCTTTTACATACACTTGTGCGGTATCACCTTTGCCCCGGATTCAGCTTGCACTATGGCCTGACGCCTGATTGATTTCATCTACCTAAGATCAAATCACAACGTGGGTAGGTTAGACTAGAAATCAAAGCAGTTACTTTGGTAACCAGACGTTGGAGGCGAGCTGGGAATGGCAAGGCTGATATCGAATCTAACCAGACATCGACCGTGACCAAGACAACCAGAGGGGTTAGTGTCACACATGGTTCCGTGATAAACCAGATTTCCATCCGAACCAGCCAATTTAAATATGAATTTAAGTGCAGTACTAGATTGGCAACAAGGTTTCATCAATTTACAGTTGAATTGGCTAGATGTAGCCATAAGTTCTATGCTAGCAACAGTATCTTTTAAGAATTAAATGCAATATCAATCATTATCTACAGTCTTCCTGATTACTCTTCTATTGTTTTTGTTCCTTAATAATGTTTCTGCTTCCTAATTCTTTCACACTCAGTAGCCCTTTGTTTCTTAGTAGCCTTACTGCCTTTCTTGGTGTAAATTCGGTTAAAAAGAAATGTGTGTGTATGCATATATATATATTATATATATATGCATGCATGTGTGTGTATAATTAAATATTGTCGCTTTAAACATTATTTTTAGTGGATACTCATATTTGAGTAGACATTGTTTATTTATTAAACAGTGTATTTATTTATGTCTTATTTTTTTGTCTGGGGTGCAGGTTTGAATCCTGCTGGAGAGTGTATATTTTCTTTAATAAGATTTCTTGAATATTTAGGTAGGTAGGTAGATGATGATGATGATAATAATAATAATAAAAAAAATAATAATATATATATATATATATATATATATATATATATATAGTTGTGTGTGTGTGTTATTTTTAATGCAAACATGTACTAAAAATAATGTTTGAAGTAATAAAAATGGCAGATTAAAAATAAATCCATTCTTTATATATATATATATATATATATAGTGAATGACAAAATGCAAAGTTTTCCTAGTGATATGTTTTGTTCTAAGAAGGAACTTCTTCATTTTATTAATGGTTTAATTGATGGAATCAGTCGTAAAGATAAAAACTGGAGGGGAGAAAATACATTAAATGCCACTTAACTCTTTCCTTCACAAATCCGTTACTGCTGAATTAAAAAAAAATATGTTTAAAAAAAATGTATATACTAAAAAAATGAAACACATAGGCCAAACATCGAAATTTAAATTTAAAACTGAGTCATTCTGTACCTTTAGTATTTCATCATTTGTTTGTATTTCCACCCACTTCCTCCATTTTATGTATAAGGCTCATTCCAGCAATAAGACCTTAGTATACAAATACACTTAGGCTATATACATTGTTTTTATTTTTCAGCATTACTGAGAATTTGACAGGGAGAGGGACTTATGAGAATCATGATGGGAATGCACACAGATTCTCTCATCCATTTTTTATGGTAAATTTTCTTTTATTATGTAATGTAATTAATATTCTAATATGGAAAAAATTTCTACAATATATAACATAAAAATAAATTTAAAAGTTTTTTTAACATTAACTTAGTTGAAAATCATTTTTATCTTTTGTTCTGTGTTGGACTATTTTCTAGCAACTTCATAATTCCATCCTCGCAGAAAGTTTTGTCTATCAGTGTGTGGAATTACCCCACTTGTATGCCAAAGAACTTTTGTTAACATTTACTAGATGGCACTGCCAAAAAAAAAAAAAAAAAAATAGCATATAAGAAAAAGATACAAGTACCTATTTTTTTTTTCTTTTTGTGATGGGATACCTTAGAGATAAGATGTGTCACCTTTTCCCTTTGGCAGACTTTTCAGTTCTCAATGAACCAAACGTTACATTGAATACAATATGAAAAGTATACAAGATAAAATTCTCAAGGCTTACTTGACTACACATATTAATACCTATTAATTTTAACAAACCAACAAATATCTCTTCTCAGAAGTAAATCTCCTATAATTTCACAAGAACTTTGCACACAGATATGTACAAAAAATGACATCTTCACATATGCATTTTAACACTCCTTTTATATAGGTAAAAAAAATATATTGTTTATAATCTCAGGTTGAAAAAAAAAATGAACACATGTTACCTCCACATACTTTCTATTTACTTCATCATTAATAATGGCAATAAGTGCATTTGGCAGTTTTCCAGGATGTCCAAAATAAATTAGAAGTTGGAATATCTCGTGAAAATTGCACATGGGTGAAAATGTCCAGCCAAGATATAAAAAATTTTATTTGGTCATGCAGAATCTTGCAGCCTAGTATTTTCTGGATACTTTTTCTATTGTTGCCTTCAGTTGAACTAGTGAGATGCAGAACTTGTTTGAATCATTTGTTTGGTTTTTATAGTTGAGAACTTTATTTCAATTCCACTGTCTACAAAACATCTTTGATCAAAGACTGGTCTTTGGTATGGTCAGTGAGGATTCATTTTACTTGCATTTCCTGCATATCATGTTTTTGAAAAGTAGCCAATGTGAAATCTCCGGTATGAAACTTCACAAACCAATTCTGATATATTTGATTACTTACACTTGTCTGGAAAAGTCTGTTGCTGTTTCCATGACAAATGTTTTGACAAGCTCTATTCTTTAGTTCCACCAATTTAGATACCATAATGCATTCCACTAGAAAAACAAAAAACTACCTCCTCCATAAACTGCATGTCTTTTTATGTTTGTAATTCATTTTTACCTTTCTTAAAATAAAAATAATTTGCTGAAAATGTTATTTATTTTCTTCTTTCTTTAATGTTAGAATCCATAAACAAAAATGTTCCTACCCATACTTGAGCATTGGAGTATGAGACACAGGAGGATCTTTTTAAGAGATTTGTTTTTTTTAAAAGTCTGCCTTATAGGTATACTTTGTTACCTATAAAGTAACTAAGTGTGTATGTGTGTATATATATATATATATATATATATATATATATATATATATATATATATGATTAATACAAATATAAAACTCGTCATTTATCTTATTGATGTTATATTCAGCATCCTGACTTCAGAGTTTCATTGATGAAAATTTTTGTAATCATTTGGTTCACCCATCAGGAGATATCAGCAATTGTCTGCCGATTTTCTCATTTTCACTGTTTTGATATTAAGTTAAAAGAAATAATTATGCACTTTTTATTGGTGTTAAGTTGATTTTTTTCTTTTGTGTGTGTGTGTGTATGCCTGTACGTGTATTTATATATGCATGTAGAATTTTGTGGTTATTTCTACTTTTCATTATTTTCTTGTTTCCTTATACTCTCTCACTATTCCTTTTCCTTCTTTTCCCTTCCTTTTGGCTCTGAGTGTAGAGAGTGATAGATAGAGAGAGAGACCTTGCTATATATTATGTATAAAAAGTAATAAATTTTGAATGCATATAATGTGAAAAATGTCTTTTTTTTAATTTCAGATTGCTGTGATGTTTTTGGGAGAATTTTCCTGCCTGTTCATTTATGTTTTAGTTAAATGGGCTCGTTCTAGGGATGCTCCGATTGACAGAGATGGTGGGAAATTTAATCCGTTGGTCTTTCTCCCTGCAGCCATTATTGATTTGGTTCAAATGTCTCTCCTGAATCTTGGACTTGGACTTGTATTATTTGCCCAGATCACCCCATTCCAAGTCATGAAAGGTTGAATACTTCTCTCTTTCTCTTCATTGTTTCCTTTTATATTGATTATTATTGAAGAAGCAAAAAATTTCTTTATCATGGGTGATTATTGTTTGTTCTGTGAATTTTTACAGGATCAGATTGCTAGCCTGGTGTTCAAAGTGAATTTTCTTACAGGGCCAAAAATCTCCAGTTGCTTTACTATTGACCCATAGTTGTAGGGAGAGTTAGATTTATGCTTTTCCAAAAGATACTGTAAAATGAATGCAAAATATCCAAGTTAGAGTTTGAATTCCTTATGCCAATTCCATTTTACACACAATTAACTAGCTTACGGCCACATCACATTGAAAAATTGGTTCCTCTATTATCCTCAAGGTCAAGTAATGTTGAGCCTGGTCAATATCTAGATGAGTGACCGCTAGGGAATACCAGGTACTGTAAACTTGGATGTGTCGGTGGTGTAATGGATAATGGTTTAGAATTTGTTAATTAGTGAGCCAAATTCCAATTTCCATTGTGTTTGTTATATTCACTTATATGCAATTATCCTGGTTTGTGCTTAGATGGGTGACTGCTTGGGAATACCAGGTGCTGTAAACTTACCTGTGTGTATAACTGTATCATATTTCATATTGTACTTGTGTACAATAAACCTTTCTTCTATTATCCACCTGGTGTTAAGTATTTATTCCCTTAGCACGGAATATAACACATAGTTTTGTCATTTTTTTTTAATAAAAAGATATTTTTTCAAGTTATTTCTTTATAGAAAGTAAATGATAAATATCACATTGTACTTTGTTCACATATCTTTATAATCTTGTAAATAAACATTGCTGAGGGAGTCAAGAGTGTATACAGTAATAGTGGTGTCAAAGGAATAACCATCTTTTTGACACACTGTTTTTTTTGCAGGCATGAAGATTAAACATTGCTGAAACAGCCTTATTGATTTGATATAAGTTGTTGCATTGATTGATTCGCTGTGATTAGATTTTAGAATTTTTTATATTTTTACTTAGAATTAAAAATGAATTATTTTGAATAAGTATTAAATATCTTGAGATCCTGCAATGAAAAAAACTTATTCACTCAAATAATAAACAAAAATCAATTGAGCAGTGAATCATTTAAATTGTTGAAACTTAGATCATAGGCGGCATTTTATTTTGGTTGAATTAAACTTTGTGATTGTTTCAAATGTGGGTCACTTAGGAATATGGTATGTCATTCCACCACTGTTTTTGTTTTTTTCTTTTCTTTTCTTTTTAAATAAGGAATATTTTTAAAACATTGGCAATTAAGGAATGCTAACATGGATGGGATGGTAGTGTTATGCTGTGAAACTGGTGTGCTGATGTCAAATTTTGACTGAGTTTGTTTCATTCACTTTGCATGAATGCATTTGAAAAAGGCATGGATCCATCTTCCACCAGCTGGGGATTAAATAACAGGGTAGACTGGACTCTTTAACCATTACAGGGAAATTAGTTTAGGAGAAGGACAGTACATTCAGAACCATGCTGAAGAGTGATGGATTGTGACAGGTTATCTTGTCTCTACATAACAACCATTGCATATAAGATCATAGTATATCTGGTGCACCTCTGACTGTGATGGGTTCTCTCAGGCTATCTGGCCCCTACACACCCCCTCTACATAAAAGATTGCAATATATCTGGTGGCCCTATGACTTGTGATAGGTTCTGAGACACATGAAAAAAAAAATTGGGGTAATATTTTTCTCAAAGGAAAGAATGAAAAATTAACATGTGATGACAGTCATGTCTTGAACTCAATTTGTTTATTTTCAAGTTTCCACTAAATGAACTAAATCATATATTTTGTACTCCCCACCAAAGATTAATTTGTTTATATTTGTGTGTGTGTTTTTTAAGGGCATTTAAAAAAAAAAATATTTTTGTCTTTCAGGTGTGACTCTGGTGTTTACTGCACTTCTTTCTGTAGCTTTTCTTGCCCAGTCATTTGGCAAAGAAAAATGGCTGGGAATGATGATGATTGTCCTTGGCCTTCTGATTATTGGTTTACCAAATCTACTCAAAAATATCGAAGAAGATGACAAAATTCAACATTATTCTCTTATTGCAGGTAAATTCAGGCCATGAACTAATTTTTCACCAATTATTTTTCTTCTCCCACACATTTTTTGTGTTTTTTGATGCAACTGCACATCTTCTCATTACTTTCTCTTTGGTTTTTCCTCTTAATGTAAATATTTATTTTTAGTAGATGTGGTCTGACCTCAACACTTCAATATTGTTTTATAAAAATACTCTACATATATTATTGTTGTGTCGGAAACCTCTTGAAGATGAACTTGTCTGCGAACAAAGACTTTAAATAGTGGCATGTAAGAGACAGGAAGAGAGAAGTTCTTAGCTGAGTTAGTTATTGACTACTCAGGCGATTTCTGTACCTTTTTACCAACCTATTAAAACCCTTTTTATTGTTACGTGTTATTTGGCGTTTGTCTCTACTAACCCCAAATCAACATCATAACAATTATTTACACTACATTCAGACAATTGTTCTCATCTTTGTTGTTATTATTACTAATAGACTGAATGTAAATTGTGTAAACAATGATGACTCCTGATCCTGAAAATTCTGATGGAAATTTGTTATGTATTTATTAGTTTTGTGCCCATTACTTCACTGATAGCAACATGACCAAATTTCAAATCTAAAATTGTTTGTTCATCTAAAAAACTGCATTAACTAGAAAATATATTCATTTTAAATACAAAAGGTTTGGTTTGTTTAGTTTTACGCCATACCAACCTCAGTGGGTTATTTACTGCCAAAAAGACTTTTATTGCTGGTAATATTTTTTTCCAAAAATGTATTGATGTTAATAATTTTTCCAAAAATATATTGCTGGTTATAAAACCTATTTTTATACTTTCATAGTGTCTTGACCCCTTTTGGGGGATTAACTATTTGTCCATAGCTGGGACTGTGACAGGTGCTACCACCCCTGGTCAGGGTGGACCTGGGGACACCAGCAATTAAGAGGTGGTTCCACACTCCTCAAAACCTCCTGATCAAGTAGGTGGAGGCTGAATGGCTTTCACTTGCACTGGCTGACATACATACTAGACATTACCTGGAAGGACAAAATCACACACACCTCATTTCTTGAATAATACCAGACCCTAACATGTAATCTCTTCTAAGGCAGCCCTGTTTCTGCTGGTTGGGCCATACCCAGAGTATGGATGACATGAATTCTGAAGGACAATTCTATGCAGAATGGAAGGAGAAAAACTGGGCAACTACAACTTCAATTTATAGATATTTGTAAACAAGATCTCATATTATTTACTATCAACCCTGCCATCTGGGGAAAATCTGATCAACACAGCTTTCAATGGCAGCAATCAATCCACAGTGGGTTATTGAGATATGGGACCACCTTGACTCCTCACAGAGAGGCAAAATAACAATGAGAAATTACAAAATGTGAGAGAGCACCATCACTTCCTAAACACTATTGAGACAAGCTGGTACATGTACTATCTGTGGCCATGTCTGCTTCTCACACACTGGACTTTGCGGCCACATAAGATGCTGCATGAGAGTTGAACTATTGAAAAATCTATTGACTAATGTAGAATCTGAGGTAAAGGATTGTCATTATTCAATGAATTATTTGGATTAGTAATTTATAGTACCAGACAAAACTTTAATAAAAGAAATGTAAATACTTAAATAAAATTTTCAATTAAATGTTAGAATTATTCAGATTTAAATTAAACTGAAATATAATTTAAGAATATTGTTATTTTTATTTATTTATTTTTTTTATTTTTTGTACTTGTTTTCCAGGAGAACTTTTTATTGCAATGTCTCAGATGTTGTCTGCAGTTCAATTGGTTTATGAAGAATACTGGATCCATAAATGTAACATTCTGCCATTGGCTGTTGTAGGCTGGGAAGGTAAAACATGTTTCACTCATTTGTTATTGTTTTAACTGTTTTATGCCTTTTATGTACATGAAATAATCAGAAATATTTTTTTTTAATCTTTTTGGGGTTCCGGATGATAAAAATTCATCTGTGTGGGGTGAGATTGACAGATTCACTCTTGTGTCTTACCCTGGGATATTTATATTAACCACATAGGTGACAGAAAATACTTGTTAAGAACACCAATATACTACACTACGAGAATAATAAACAAAAACTTTAACTTCTTGAGGCCTTCTATATTAAAATCAACCAACACCCAACAAAATTTATTATGAATATAGCACAACATATTAAAGTGCATACAACATTTATATACTAATGCCATTTTACTTTTCTACCATTTCCTGGTCAGTTCCATTATATTGAAATGCTTGTTTTGCAAAAAATTCCATAACTACAATGGATCAATTTTAAAATAACTATAACAGAGCATGTTCATGCTCTGTTTTTAAAAATCATTATCACAACAAAATGCAGTTTTTATCACAGATACAATATGTTGTCTTTGTAATTTACCCCTGAAGATGATCTTAGAAAAGGTCGAAAGTATGTGGATTGAAAAAAAACTATGGCACCTTCCTTGATGAATTTCATCTTAACATCCAGAAAATAATTACAGAACTGGAAAGGATCGGTATAAAAATAAGTAGACACAATATGTCTATATATTTTACCCCGGATCGCATGAAGATACTGAAAGGTTCAAACCAAGGTAGCATGATTGGCTGATCTCCTAATTCTCTCTCTCTCTCTCTCTCTATATATATATATATATATATATATATATATATATATATATATATATATATATTATTATAATATAATAATGATAATAATAATAATAATAATGATGATAATAATAAAAATATAAATAGTTATACACATTTGGAAAAACTTTAGGTATTTTGGGTTGTAATTGAATAAACCAATGCCCAAAGGAAAATAAGGGATAAAAAAAGGAAGGACTAAGAACATGAAATTGAGGCGAAAACAATCGTCCAGAATCTAAGCTCAGTCCAAAGAAAAAAACCTCCAAAATGAGTAAAGCAAAAGTAACTATGTAAAGTGCTCAATACACTAAGTAGAGCAAACCTAAATATGAACCTAAAGAGCCAGGTAACCCTGATGATCCGTATAGGTAAAACCTAGGTAGGTTTAGCTGGCTCTTTAGGTTCATATTTATTTATATATATATACACTATATACATATATATATATATATATATA